CAGGAATCTCCCTCTGTTCGGTAGGTTTCCTATGGTCTGGTAGCAGCTCTTTGTAGGCTCTGAATACAACTTGTCAGTTTATGTAGTTTTCATGCCTCTTCCCTATATCACAGGGATACAGAGAGCCTAGGCTAGGCTGAGGGCATTCTGTCCTGGAAGCTCAGAGCTGAGACAGCCTAGATGTGAGCTCAGGCGGCTCGGCTAGTCTGTCCTGAAGAGAAGGAGCACTCAGATCAGAGCTTTTGTTAGAAAGAGCAGACATGGGGGGCAGTCTGTGGGAAAATGTTAAGAAGAGTGGCTTTTTCTGGGAAAGAGAATTTTCCACAAATTTCCCTCTTGACTTCCTGGCAATATCATGGTCCTTAGGTCTGGCAAGTACTTTCTGAGAACATCACACCCATCCCTGGACTCCAGAGCTAGCCCCTCATCGTCACAGTTCTTAAAGACTTACAGAAGGAAAAAAAAAAAAGACACCTTGGCTTCTCCCAACCGTGCTGCCTCAGGGTGACACGCCCTTCCTCTAGGAAGCCTCTCTTTCATCCTTTCTAAATCTCTCCATTTTCTGGTGTTTTAAGTTAGCAGCAATGAGTAATGCTCCTGGCTACCCACTTCTAGCAAGGCTTGACATTAAACACACATAACATGCTATGAATTGCAAATCAAGTTTATTGTGCAGACACCAAGACCACAGCACTTTATATGCAGAGTCAGCAAGACAGGCTATATACACAGAAACATGTTTCCCCATGGGCACTGCCAGGGGAAAGGCATGGGCTTTGAAATGGGGTCCTCGAGGGCATACTTGTCAGGAAAAAGGACCACCAAATGGGCAATGCAAAGAGGCGCTGGGAATGGGGGTATGGCTGGAAGCGCAAACCTAGACGATGCAGATTCTTCCCCAGGGGACAGAGGCTGTCACCTGCTCCAACTAATTTGTTTGGAGAGGAGATATTTCAAAAACTGTATGTCGGCATCCCTTTCCCCAAATGGATGACAAGTTTTGATTTGCTGTCAGTTAGATGTACAGAGACAAGCTTCTACATTCTGGAGTGGGAGTCAAGGGCGGGACTACATCTTTATCTAAAAGAGAAGCTCACGCTGGGACCGTAAGCTTCACCTGAGCCAGAACCAGACTTTTCAGAGATAGAACCACCTGATTTAAAGCCACCTCCAGAGCCATATCCGCCCCCTCCAGAGCCTCCTCTAGAGCCTCCTCCAGATCCGTATCCTCCTCCAGAGCCAGAGCCTCCTTTGGAGCCGCCTCCAGAGCTTCCTCTGGAGCCGCCTCCAGAGCCATATCCACCTCCAGAGCCTCCTCTAGAGCCTCCTCCAGAACCGTATCCTCCTCCAGAGCCAGAGCCTCCTCTGGAACCACCAGAGCCATAGCCCCCTCCTCCACCTCCACTTCTGGAGCCTGATCCTCTGCCTCCAGAGCCATAACTGCTGCTTCCAGTGCTGAATCCTCCTCCTCCAGAACCAGATCCTCTACCTCCGGAACCTTGGCCAACTCCAAAACCAGCCTTTGATGCCACGTGCGAAGAAACAGTGCTGCTTGTCACGGCTGCAGAGAGAGACAGTGTTACCACAGTTCTGACCTTCTCTGCCTGCCTTCACCCAACACGCTACCCATAGGACAGGACCACATCCCTCACTTACACACAGTCACGTTGCTGCTGAGGTCTCCAGACATCCTGTCAGGGAGAGAGAGAAAAGAACTCATGGCAGAGCACTTGGTTCAGCCTTTGACATCAGCCACCAGAGCCTTACAGAGCCCACTCTCTTCTGTACGCCAGATCACAGAGGTGGGGCTGGCCCCACATTTCTACACGGCCTGGCATCCCAATGCATCTCAATTTTTTGCTCATGAAAATGATGAAAACACAAATTCGCTTCTGACTCTGCACCCCGTTTTTGTATTGAAATCCATCTTAAGGAGTCTGATATTCAGAATCCAAGGCACACCAGAATTTTTAAATGAGGCCGCACTGTATGAATATTCAGTTCAGAAAGAATTGCATATCTATACAGCCTCCCTGCCCCACCCTCCTGCCCTACCCTTCTCATCTCCATATGAAATCATTCCCACTGCCTCTTGCAAGCTGGGATAAGAGGCCTGACCTCGCAGACAGGTACAGAGTAACAGCCTGAGCCAAGTGACTCCCTCTCTGTCATACTGGCTTGCTGGTGGCCCAGGGCAGCTTTTCCCCCTCCAGTATCTTTAGCCAGAATAAATCACCAGGATGCTAATAACACTGATAAAGCTTTCAGACCACAGAGGAAAGAGGCCCATTTAGGAGGTTAGCAAATGGTTCTGTTTGTCCCTCCAGAAACCTGCAAAGAACTAGGGCTGGCACCTGCTCCAGGTGAGCATGCCCCAGCCAGTCCACACATTCCCCTTTCTAGGTCACAAAGTGGAGAGAGAAGAAGCTGCACACTCCACAGACCCAGAGACCAAGGTTTCTCACTGTCTAGAACGAATCCGTTTTCAAAGCATTTTGATTTCTCTTTCCAAAGAGATCAAGATTAATTTATTGCTAAACTTAATTTAATTTAACTTAGTTAATTTAATTTACTCTGCCTTGTTAGTTATTCCATATTGATAAATCTACCACTGTACAATAATGCTTTATATCCTGAATCTCTGCTTCAGATTATGGGGAGCATGGTGACGTCAGCTCTCAGCCATCAGAAGGCCTTGCCCCACCCCTGCTTTCCTTGCCTTTGCCTCCAGCCCTGGTTCTAGGAGACAGGTGAGGGTGGACCAAGGTACCTTCTGCCTTCTCATTGTCCCTCACCTGTACTCCTCGCCCTCCAGCAGCTTGCGGTAGGTGGCAATCTCAACATCCAGGGCCAGCTTGGTGTTCATGAGCTCCTGGTAGTCACGCAGCAGCCGGGCCAGGTCCTCCCGGGCCTGCTGCAAGGCTTCCTCCAGGTCGGTGAGCTTGTTTTGGGCATCTTTGATAGCATGCTCTCCCCTCTGCTCAGCATCTGCAATGTTGTCTTGTACGTTCTTATTTTTTTAGAGAAAAAGGTTTCTTTTGTACAGAGAAGTCTACCTGGTAGAGGGAGAGAGGAAGCAGCAGTGTTTAGGGCGTGGGAAGCCAGAAGCACTGGATCTGGAAGAGCTGGGCCCCCTCGAGTTAATGCAAGTTATGAACAGCTGTGCTAAGACTTGCTGCTGACTCTGGGGCATCTTCTTCCCAAGCTTCCTTTGACTGGACCCCTTATGTGTCCCCATAAAGACCTTTGATCCTCACAACACAGAAACAGAATCGTTGTCCCATTTTATAGTTGCAAATGAAAATATCTGATGTAGACTGCTGCACAAAATTCTGTTGCTTGTGGAGTGGATTCTGTGCCCAACATTATGTTTTCCAAAGCTAATACCTAGCCACCTCCCTGTGACACTCACTGCCCCTTCATTACGCAGCTGGCTGTGCTCAGGGTCGTGCCAAGCACAAGTGGGAAGCTACGGCTGCAATCCATGGCACGTCCAATGACCTCTTTCTTTATTTGCTCCTTTCACTGGTGTAAGCAATCAAAAAGTGAACACAATTCTTTTCCTGCACTACTCCTTGCTTTACAATGTCCCTTAGGCCACTCTAAAAATTGTTATAAGCTTTAAATTGTGCTAAATTCAAAGCATTTGGTATTAACACACGCTAGATTAGAATTTCTCAGTTTCTCCTCTCTCTCTCTCTCTCTCTCTCTCACACACACACACACACACACACACCTATACACAACCTCTCACTCTCCCACCCCACCCTGACCCCCTCAATCAGTGGAGCCGCACGAGTCCTTAGGGCCACACCCCACCTGCTTCTTCACGTGGTCAATCTCCCCTTTCAGTCTCTGGATCACACGGTTCAGCTCATTGATCTCCATCTTGATCTCTTTCACGCTGTCTCCATGTTTCCCAGCAGTGACCTGGAGCTCCTCATACTGTAAGAGAAGAGGAAGACAGTGGCAGCTGGGAGGAAGCTTGAGCCAAGGGATATCTAATACTGGTCCAGGGAGGGTCAACTAAGCCGAAGGTCATGGCTGCATTTGTGAAAGGTGGGGGACCATCTCACACCCCCAAAAGGACTTGGTGCCATTCTTGATTGAGGGCATTTGGGGTAGTATGGACACTTTTTCTGGGGAATAATGCCTAACTTCCATTAGATAAAAACACCAACAATCTTACTGTACACTTTCTGGCTGGTTAGAAGAAGCTGTGGCTCTCCCTTCACTTTAAGTACTTGCCTTGCTCTGGTACAGGGCCTCGGCCTCCGTCTTGCTCTTCTGGGCAATCTCCTCGTACTGGTTCTGGACCTCAGCTATGATGCTGTCCAGGTCCAGGTTGCGGTTGTTGTCCATGGACAGAATGACGTTGGTGTCGGTGACATGACTCTGCATCTGAGACACCTCCTGCAACACACGGGAGTCTAACCATGTCTTCCCCGTCCAGTGAGGAGGCTCCTCCTCCCCAGTGTTTGGGAAACACACAGACTCTCAGACTCACATGCACTGTGTGACATTTAAAGTGCTATAAGCACCATTCCTAGGCCCCTGCCAAGGTTGCTGTGAGAATTATGGAAGAGGAGTCTGTATTTCTACAGTTAACAGCCTTAGTTAACAGACTTCATGATTTATCCAGTTTCGATAAGTGCCCCCAGAAAGAAGCAGGTTGATGGCAAATGCCTTAAATTTTACTTCCTGTTTCATAATTCATGTGAGTGCACTTGGGCAGGAAGCAGAGAGGTATGTTACATTTGACCTCCAAAGTATGTTAGACATAAGGATGAGAACAAGACAAGTCTCTTCCTAAGGAGAGCTGGATGTTTGGGGAATAGAGTGTAGGGAGATTGTCCTAATGTTTCCTGAGCCTTACTTCCTGTGACATCAGAGGAGAAAGTTTCTCTCCTCCAAGATCTATACCATAGAAACCTTGTGGCCTGGAATAATGGCAAGCTGAAGTCAGCCAGTCCATAAACCCCACTCATACCACATTTTATCAGTTAGGAAAGGCTTTCTTTTGGTGGGAAGGGTAGGCAGCAAGGTTCTATCCAGAAGCAGCCTCCTTACCGCATCAAAGAGAACTTTCATGAACTCAACCTCCTGGTTCAGCACATCCACCTTGGACTGCAGCTCCACCTTGGTCATGTAGGTATTGTCCACATCCTACAAGAAAGGTCAGGGGCCACTGGTGAAACTCATGCCCCCCCACCCATCTTGCAGCTTTCTGTGTGTAAGCCCCACCCTCTCTACATCACTCTATTTCACCCAGTCCCTATTAGCTGCTCTCCAATATCCTAGGCACCTCCAGGTGAGCCATGTCCCCAATGGGACCTCATTGGACATTGAGTCCTTATGGGGACTCCATGGTTCTATTCACTGATCATGCCCCTCTAGACCATCAGAAGTCTGATGGGCCCAAGCTTTGTCAACCATTCTCCCCTTCCTATCTGAGACACTGTGTGTTCCCACTATGAGACGTAATGGCCTCTGTGACTTTTAACAGTCCTCAACTCTCCCATCCTATCTGTCCATCCCACTTCTGAAAATCTCCTGGATTTGATTCCAAAACCTCTGCAGAACCAGGCAAAGAATCCACACTTTTGCCTTCTAGCTCAAATCTTTGTCAGCAGAATCGACAGCCTCTTTCAGTAGGCATTCTAAGAGAAGTCCTATTCCTTCTCCAGCTCTTTAGAAGAATTAAGTGTTCTCTGTGTTTGCGTTTTTCATGCTCCGATATAGATTGTAAGTAGGTTATCAATAGGAAAATCTCTATCAAATTGCACAATATCTTTGAAAATTATCTCCAGAAGTTTGAACTACAGAAACACTTTTGTTTTTAAGAGAACCAGCCACAGACACCTCATCCCT